AGCAGGAAAGGATTTTGGGGGCTGGGAGCAACTCTCAAAGATGTGGAGTTGAGACCGCTTTGGTCCCTCATCAAGCTTGCATCTTGTCCTATTTATGAAGAAAAGAGAGCTTTAGTTAAAAGATGTTCCAGGCCTTTATGAGATAATTTTTGATTCAATGAGCATTGATTAATTGAGCCCAATGTCCGAGTCACCAGAAAGCTCTTTTAATCTGTACGGGAAAGTGCAGCGGAGAACAGTTGCATGGATGCCATCTGCTCTAGCCAAGATGCCCTAACCTACCTAGTATTATGAGATGAGAGGCAGTGCGGCATAATGGTTAGAGCATGGGAAGGCAAACTAAGGCCCAGGGGCCAGATCTGGCCCAATCGCCTTCTAAATCCGGCCCGCAGATGGTCCAGGAATCAGTGTGTTTTTACATGAGTAGAAGGTGTGCTTTTATTTAAAATGCATCTCTGGGTTATTTGTGGGGCATAGGAATTTGTTCACCCCCCCAAAAAAATATAGTCTGGCCCCCCACAAGGTCTGAGGGACAGCCCACAGTTGAAAAAGGTTTCTGACCCCTGGGTTAGAGTGTTGGACTATGACCTGTTAAGACCAGGGTTCGAATTCCCACTCAGCCATGATGAAGGACACTGGGTGTGACCTTGGGCTAGTCGCCATCTCTGAGCTTTAACCTACCTCACAGCGTTGTTGTGAGGATGAAACAAGGGAAGGGAGAACTGTGTGTCCACCTTCAGCTCCTCAGAGGAAAAAAGTGGAACATAAATGTAATAAATAAAACCACTCTGCACATGCGCTCTGTGTGGGGCTACCTTTGAAGGTGACCCGGAAACTACAACTAATCCAGAATGCGGCAGCTAGACAGTTGACTGAGAGCGGCCACTGAGACCATATAACACCAGTCTTGAAAGACCTACTCTGGCTCCCAGTGTGTTTCCGAGGAAATTCAAAGTGTTGGTGCTGACCTTGAAAGACCTAAACAGCCTTGGCCCAGTATACCTAAAGGAGCGTCTCCATCCCCATCGTTCTGCCTGGACCCTGAGGTCCAGCGCCAAGGGCCTTCTGGCGGTTCCCTCCCTACGAGAAGTGAGGTTATAGGGAACCAGGCAGAGAGCCTTCTCGGTAGTGGCACCCGCCCTGTGGAACGCCCTCCCACCAGATGTCAAAGAGAAAAACAACTACCAGACTTTTAGGAGACATCTGAAGGCAGCCCTGTTTAGGGAAGCTTTTAATGTTTAATAGGTTATTGTATTTTAATATTCCGTTGGAAGCCGCCCAAAGTGGCTGGGGGAACCCAGCCAGATGGGCGAGGTATAAATAATAAATTATTATGATTATGATTATGATTATTGTTACATGGGCAGAGAACCTCTGGTCTGCAGTTCATCCCAGTGGTGTGATCATGGCAGTTTTGGACTCTGGACTTAATGGTCTTATGGAGAGACCCCTCCATAGTCAGTTAAGTGAATGAGTTGGCTTACTTGGCTTCCCCCACCCCGTGGTGCATTTGGGAGTCCTCTTGCTTTTCCTGCTGGCTGGAGCCTGGGTTTCTGCTTCCCACAAGTCCTGCCCTGATGGTGCTCATGTTACTTTCTGGTGCTGGGTTTGTGGGAGGAGTGACCCCTCCACTGGGCATGTCAGAATGTCTGTACTCACGCAGGAACCCCAAAACATCCCCATAGAGTGGTCCAGAGCAGAAAGCTCACTCTCATCATAACTGCTTAGGCATAGAGGGTTGTATCCAATTAAGTACAATGTTCCATCTGCCAGAGGTTCTTTGCATTGCAGGGGATTGGACTAGATGACCACCTGGGGTCCCTTACAACTCTCTACATTTCCCCCTTTCTTTCCAATCTTAAGTTCAGTTCTATATATTTGCACATTAATTTGTTGTTGTTGTGACTATTACTATTCTAATTATTTAAGTCCTCCAGAAAATTCAATAGCATTTTACTGTGAATTTCTATTAATACATACATGTTTGCACGCAATTTTGCCTAAATTACCCATTCTGGCAAAGCCCTGATACAGTGCATTTCTGCATGTTATTTTCACTAACAGATGCATTTTGATGCATGATTGAAACACACACCCGGTATACGCACTTCCACACACATGACTTGGCTGGAGAATGGCATTGCAAAATTTGGAGAGCTGTTAATTCTCAAGGGGTGATAGTGTTTTCAGTCCTTGTACTGTTTTGGAAAGTGTGAAATAGGTGGGTTTATGTTGAAAGGTGAAACTGGAATACAATTTCTCCCTGCCAAGAGACGTGAGGACAGCTGCTGCCTTAAAGGTAAAGGGACCCCTGACCATTAGGTCGAGTCGTGGCCGACTCTGGGGTTGCGGCACTCATCTCGCTTTATTGGCTGAGGGAGCCAGTGTACAGCTTCCGGGTCGTGTGGCCAACATGACTAAGCCGCTTCTGGCGAACCAGAGCAGCACACAGAAATGCCATTTACCTTCCTGCCAGAGCGGTACCTATTTATCTACTTGCACTTTGACGTGCTTTTGAACTGCTAGGTGGGCAGGAGCAGGGACCGAGCAACAGGAGCTCACCCCGTCGCGGGGATTCGAACTGCCAATCTTCTGATCGGCAAGTCCTAGGCTCTGTGGATTAGACCCATATCCCAGCTGCTGCCTTAGATGCCTTTAAATGGAATTAGAACAGTTCGTGGAAGAGGAGGAGGCTAGCAAAAGAACACAAGAAGAGTCTGCTGGATCTGGCCAAAAATCAGTAGCGTGCGGTGAAATTTTTAACAGGGGAACAGTTAGGGCCACAGGAGTGAGGGTACTTGGGCAGGTGGGATATCCAGACTTTGCATGTGAGCATCGTGATTCCTTCCCTAAGCTGGGTGTCACAAAAGCCCAGTGCCTGCACCTCTCAATAATAATAATAATAATAATAATAATAATAATAATAATAATAATAATAATTTATTTGTACCCCACCCATGTGGCTGGGTTTCCCCAGCCACTCTGGGCGGTTCCCAACAAAGATTAAAAATACATCAAAACCTCACACATTAAAAACTTCCCTGAACAGGGCTGCCTTCAGATGTTTTCTAAATGTCAGGTAGTTGTTTATCTCTACCAGGACTCTGATAGGATGCTGGAGTCCTCCTGCCTCCAGGTGGGCTTGGGGGAGGTGGCAGCAGCGGTGGAGCATATGCCCGCGCTGCCCAGGGTGGGCATGCTCCCGAGGGGGGCGTGGAGGGTGTCCTCCCAGGTGCAAGATAGCTGCTTGGGTGCCTGGAGCAGTGCGCACGTCCTGCAGCCGGGGGTGGAGCGAGCCGCCCACAGCGGACATTCAGCGCTCCGCACGCCCGCGACTCCGAAGCCTCCCCCAAGCTGTCAAAACAAAGGGGGAAGGGGGAATGCTGCTGGCAAAGTGGTTTGGGAGTTGCGGCCGCACACCGTGCCAAATGTCACCCCCCTCAGTGAGGGCACCTGGGGCAATTGACCCCCCGCCCCCCTTCCTATGCCCCTGCGTGGCAGGAGGGTTCTTGGACCCTGTCGGCGTATATTCCTGGGCTTTGGGAAGGAGGTGCCAGGGGAACATTTAGGCGACTAGCCTAGCCCCCACCCCAGTCCACTGACCGCATGCCACTGCGGCCAATGACCCATACTGCATCCTGTTTTTACAACGGCCAGCCAGATACTGCAATGGGGAACACTCAACCTGAGCACTAGAGCCATAATAATAATAATAATAATAATAATAATAATAATAATAATAATAATAATATGTCACCCATCTAACTGGGTTGCCCTCCTGAAAGTGCCACAAAACCTCTGCGTTCCACCCATGAGAATTTCACCAAATCCCCCCTCCCCCTGCCTTTTGCTAGCTTTCTAATGCAGTTCCCTTTTCTCATTAAGAGCATAAGGAGACTCTGCTGAATCAGGCCAATGTAGCCCAGCAACCTGTTCTCGCAGTGGCCTGTTCTTGTAGTTGCCTGTGGGAATCCAGCAAGGAGGATCCGAGCGCAACAGCCCTCTCCCCTCCTGTGGTTTCTATAGCCCCACCACGGGAGCTGGAAAGATCAGGCATGCATGGAATTCTTTGGCAGTTCCTTTTGGGCTGGGAATGGCCTTAAAGAACACAACACAGTGGCAGCTTGGTTCTCAAACACCTTGGTTCTCAAACTCCAGAAACCCGGAAGTAAGTGTTCTGGTTTTCAAACGTTTTTCGGAAGCCAAACGTCCAATGCTGCATTCGGCTATTCTTTCCAGGGCGCCTGCGCCAATCAGAAGCTGCGCCTTGGTTTTCAAACATTTTGGAAGTCAAGCAGACTTCCGGATCGGATTAAGTTTGGCGCTTTTTTGCTATTTATTTTGTGGTTTTGTTTTTGAGGCCTTTTTGGTTAATTTGTTTTTGTGTCTGTGTGGGACCCAGTTCAGCTACTGATTGATTGATTGTGTGACTGTGGAAATGGATAAAAGCCAAACAATGACTATCACCAGTGCAGGTAAGAAAAAAAAAATTTAATTTTTATCATCTACAATACTGTCTTATTTATTTTATAGTACAGTACATTGATTATTGCTTTCTTTTTATGGATCAATGGTTTCTTTAGATAGTAAAATTCATGTTAAATTGCTGTTTTAGCAGTTGTTTGTAAAAGTCTGGAATGGATTAATCCATTTTGCATTACAGTTATACCTTGTGTTACGTTTGCTTCATATTGCGGCTTTTCAGGTTACGAACATGGCAAACCCAGAAGTGTTTACTTCTGGGTTCACCCCTGTGCGCGCACAGAAGCAATTTGCGCACTTTGTGCATGCACAGAAGCGCTCTATTGCGCTTTGCGCACAAACAGTAGCGGTGCTCTACTTATGGACTTTTTGGGGTGCGAATGGCACCCCAAAACGAACCGTGTTCATAAGTAGAGGTACCACTGTACTCTCTATGGGAAAGTGGGCCTTGGTTTTGGAACGCTTTGGTTTTGGAACGGACTTCTGGAACGGATTAACTTTGAGAAACAAGGTACCACTGTAATGTATTATGAGGCTGCTGGATCAGGCCAATGGCCATTCTAGTCCAGTATCCTGCGGCCAACCAGATGCCTTTGGAAAACCCGCAGGCAGGATTCAAGCAGAACAGCGCCTTCCCCTCCTGTGGTCCCAGCATCCATGATCCAGAAGCATTGCTGCCTTGAACAGTGGAGGCAGAGCCAAGCCATCATGGCCAGCAACTATCAAGAGCCCTCTCCTCTTCCATGAATTTGTCTAATCCCTTTTTTAAAGCTACCCAGGTTGGAGGTCATGCCTGCCTCCTGTGGGAGCGAGTTCCACAGTTCAATGATGCGCCACGTGGTTAATTGATGATTGACAGAGGACGGTTAAAATCAGAGCACGGAAGACCCTTTTGGCACAGCGCCCTGAAAAACATCAATATGGGTGGGATGAACCTTTGGTCTTATCCGGCAAGGCTCTCCTTATATCCTTGCATCTCTCTCTCCCCTCACTCACTCACTCGCCCCAGATTGCTATACATTCATAAACAAAATCAGAAGATGACTTTGAGAGCTGAGAGCAGGGGAGAAGGGAGTTGAGTCAGCCATAGGGTTAAGCCTCCCTTGTATCACAGATAATGATGGTGTGCAGCAGGATAGTGGCGCCCCGGCTCCGCGGCATTTGCCTACATTCGCGCTAACTAGGCCTGTATTGGCGACCGTCCAAGACCCCAGAGGCTGCGTTTAATTTGCATGCAAATTTACAAGGATTTAAGTGCCTTAAAATAAACAGATCCTGCCAACCCGATTGTAGCTCCATCTCCCTTGACAGATTTGTGGAAATTGGCTAGTGGTGTGTGTGTGTGTGTGTGTGTGTGTGCGCAGCGGCAAGGCCTGTGGAATCAAGCAGCTTCACCTCCTCATGGTTCCTGCCATCGGTGTCCTCAAACCCTCGTCTGTACCACTTCCCTGTCCGGCAGCACGAGAGTCACGGGCGAAAGGGTCCCTCTCGGGGAAGGGAAAGTTTGTAACTCCTTGGTCCCGAACCGCGGCGAGACATAATCGGCCAGGAAGCGGATGTTGAACTGCCGGCCGATGCAATAGACCAGGTTCTCGACGACAGCACACTGGAAGCTGGCCGGGAAGGGCATGAGGTGGGTGGCACACTCATACCAAAGCTTGGCCCTGGCGCCGCAGCGGTAGACACTGATGCCCATACTCCGGTTCAGGTCAAAGCGGTAGATGAACCCATTGACGGTCACCATCTCTGTTGTCCGGTCTTTGTTTCCACCGGTGAGGCTGAACTTCCACGTATCCGTCTGCCCGACGTATCTCAGCAGCATGTAGCGCAGAGTGCCCCCCGTGACGTAGATCTCTCCATCGCACGCCGTGGCAGTGTGGGCCACGGCGAAGGTATCATTGGGCAGCGGGGCGGCGAAGGTCCAGCGGTCCAGGCGTGGGTCGTAGCGCTCAACGGTGTAGAGGCACTCCCCACCAATGGCGTACAGGTAGCCGTCCAAGGCAACCAGCTTGCAGTGCGGCCTGGCTTGGTTCAGCGGGCAGATCTCGCGCCAGATGTTGGTCAAAGGGTTGTAGCAGAAAACCCGGTTGGACGGCTTCTGGCGCCTCCCCCGTCCTTCACAGCCAGTGGCCACAAAGAGGTAATTGAACATGCTGCACATGGCACAACCCTTGGAGACGACTTCCAGAGGCACGTGAGTCAACAGGTGCCAGGTATCCTTTTGGTCGTCGTAGTAGCAGAGCCTGCTCGCATGCTGGCTCTCGCCCTGAGAGCTGACGTCTGCCACAGTCACGTACTTCCGCCCCTGCATCCTCCGCTGCAGGATCAGGTCTCTCTCCATGCCGCTGAGGCGACTGTAGATTGCGTGGGTCCTGAGCACCTGGAGGTAGTTGTCGCTCATGACCTTGTAGGCCGCTTCCCGGAGCGTCTCCAGCTTCTGCTTCTTGGCCGTACACAAGACCTCGTAGCAGTTCCCCAGGTCCAGGTGGATGTCAATGGAGGACTCTGAGCTGAGCGGGATGTGGAAGAACTTGGCGCCAGCCACCAGCTCCACTGTGGGTTCCTCACTCGTGTCGCTTTGGAGACTCTGCATGGACCCGACCAGTGAAGAAACAGAGCTGGAACGGAGGGGGCTGAGAGGTGGTGTGTCCAGTCCTGACAACCCTGAAGCCAGACAGCCAAACCCTTCCATAGGCACCTGAAGCTCTGGGTTGTCTATGATTTGATGGAGGCTGTCTTTTCGACTGAAGCTGCAGGCTCCAGGTCCTGGAGGTTTCTTGGATCTCTTTTCTTGGACAGCAGCCCCATCCTGGCTCCCAGGTTGCCGGGGCTTTGTCTCATCCTGGATAAGATGAGGAAGAGCACCGGGAGATGGAACATCCTCAGGGTCATTTTCTGCTGCTGAGGTCTGGGCTGATTCCTGACCCAACTGCTCCTCAGAGGCATCAGGGATGTTGATCACAGGTAGCTGAGAAAATGGTTGGGTACCCAGGCTGGCGCAGGAAGGCATTTCCTTCAGGACCGACTGGGAGATGGACTGAATGTAGTAGTCATAGACTTTGCCTTTCAGGCTGGTCCCAGGGACCCCTGGTTGCCCATTACTGTTCTCCTGGAGCCTCCGCTCTTTAACAAGGCTTTCCTCCACCTGAACTTGGGCCACAGAGGAGAACATGTACGTGGTGTGTGACCCAGCATGGCTATGGTTCATCTTCAGGCCCATGTCAGAAGTGGCATGGAACGACGGACGGGTCCTCTCCTGCTCCTCTTGGGTCGGGGCTAAATGCTGCCTCTCCTCTTCTCCAGACAGATCACTCCTCCCTCCTCCTAAAGTGGAACCATTCTCATCTGCAGGGTGAAGTGCTGCATGCCCAGATCCCTTCTCCTGAGCAGCCAGGCAAAGTCCATTTTCTGCAGAGCTGACATCCTTGTGGCTGCCGTTCAAACTGCAGAAGCCGCCTTCTGGGGAAAGCAAACCCAGAGAAGGCAACCTGCCTCTGACTCCATTGCAGTCTCTGTGACTGCGGCACTGTTTCCATTGCTGAGGACAGCACCAGAAGTCTCCCCTCCCTTCTCCTCTTCTGCCACTGAGAATTTTCTGTCTGGTGGCAGCCCGCTTCCCAGGTGACTCATCCTCTCCTTCTCCTGTTTCTTTACCTCTCTTTCCCCATCTGGCTCTCTGCAGGCAGGTGTATCTTGCCCTCTAGATTCCCCAAAGACTGCAGGCCCAGGTGCCCAAAGCGGCGGGTTACCCCCTGCTCTGTGGTTCGGCTTCTCACCCTTGTTGTTGACCCACCGGTGCCTCAGTCCAGGGGGCAGTTCTTCCTCCTTACAGCAGACCATGCTCTCCGTCCCCTCTGCGCCTTCGCTGCCCTTGCCTCTCTCCCCGCTGGCTCCTTGCTGGCTGCCGCAGGGCACTCGAGACTTGTAATATCTATATGCCAAAGTCAGTAGGAGGAAGGCGGCGGCCGAGAGGGCCACCCTAGCAGCCAGCTGCATATCTGAGGTCTGCTCTCCGCTTACCTGGACGCCGGGGGTCATCCTTCCATACCACGCTGGCTGCTCAGGAATGCGAGAAATCCGAGGTTAATTATTTCTTGAGCAGGGGCTGGCTCCAAGCGGCCAAGGCCTGACTCCCAGGAAGGTGACTTTTACCTGTCGACAGGTAGAGAACACCGCAGGTTCCCTGGCTGGTCTCCCTCCTCCCTCCCCCTCTCTGTATGCCAGGTGTCTGCTTACCATAGGAGGTTTGCATATTTGAACAAGGTGGGCCGGGCCGGACACAGGTGACACAGGGTGTGTGTGTGTGTGTGTGTGTGTTTGTGTGTATTAAGTGGAAAACAAAGCAAGCAGACAAGACAGAGTCTCCCAGATGGGGGTTTAGTTTACCAAGCTTCTGTAAACAAGAGAGGAAACTTTGGAAAGCTACGAGGAAGTAGGAAGAGAAAATGAACAGGTGCCTGTAAAAATAGACTTCCCCAAGCTGATAGGAGCTAGTCACTGATTATGGATTTCTCCTTCAGTGCTCACTTTTGGGACTTGGCTAATGAACATTTTTTCAGGCGGTGCATTGTTAAACTATGGAACTCACTCCAGCAGGAAAAAGGGATGGCCTGCTTTAAAAGAGTATTGGATCAAATCATGGAGGAGAGGGCCATTGATTGCTGCTTGGCACAATGGCTATGCTCTGCCTCCAGACCCTCCAAGTGTCTCTATTTTTCGGGAACAGTCCCGGATTTGCAGAAGCCATCCTGGTTTCTGATTTCATAGAGTTGGAAGGGACCCTAAGGATCATCTAGTCCAACCCCCTGCGCTGCAGGAAGAGGCAGCTATCCCATACAGGGATCAAACCTGCAACCTTGGTGTTATCAGTGCCATGCACTAACCAACTGAGCTATCACGGAATGTGATACAGGGCTGCCTTAAGATGTCTTTTAAGAGTTGTATAGTTCCTTATCTCCTTGGCTCGGGGGGTTTGCATAACTCCATACCCTCTGATATTTCTCTGATGAAAATAGGGATGCCCTAAGGATGTGGGTGGCGCTGTGGTCTAAACCACTGAGACTAGGGTTTGCCGATCGGAAGGCTGACGGTTCAAATCCCCATGACAGAGTAAGCTCCCGTTTCTCGGTTCCTGCTCCTGCCAACCTAGCAGTTCGAAAGCACGTCAAAGTGCAAGTAGATCAACAGGTACCGCTCCGGCGGGAAAGTTAATGGCATTTCCGTGCGCTGTTCTGGTTTCGCCAGAAGCGGCTCAGTCATGCTGGCCACATGACCTGGAAAAACTGTCTGCGGACAAACGTCGGCTCCATCGGCCATAAAAGCGAGATGAGCGCCAAAACCCCATAGTCATTCGTGACTGGACTTAACTGTCAGTGGTCCTTTACCTTTTAAAGGAAAAACTGGACATTTCAGGATCAAGTCAGAAACTGGGATGGCTTCTGCAAATCTGGGACTGTCATGGGAAAATAGGGTCACACTGTTGCACACAGCTCAAAGAGCTTTTGCCTGGCTAGGATGAGGCCCTGAATTGGGATAATGCCTCTTGCCTGCCTGGATGGAGAGACACATGTGCGCTTGTGGGAAACCCAGGGCCTATTTCCTGGCCAGATTGTATGCTACTGTACCAAGAGATGTATCAGTTGCTCCACTTAACATTGTTTCTGCTGGAAGCTTGACCAAGCAGGGGGAGGGGCAGAGTCCACCTTCCTGGCTGAAAATGTTTCCCCACTCCCGTTCAAAGGCTTTTAGGTCCTTGAACCGGGACTCTTCTTTCACTTTCTCCTCACAAGGCTCCAGATCCACTGACAAGGCCATCTGAAACACAGGAAGTTTCATAGGCCCTGCTATTCCTGAACTTTGTCAAAGGGGTCAAAGTCCCTGGAAGGCGGCAGTTCATGAAAGTTGCCGCTCACACCAGACTGTGATTTTTTTATCGTAATCATTTGCATGCTTTACAGGGATTTTATATATGTATATTAGCGCTGCCATATGTCCAGAATTTCTCGGGCATATCCGGGATTTATCAGGCGGACGGGATTTCTGGGGAAATGTCTGGGGAAACTCGGGTGTATGGCAACCCATGTTGGAAGTGTTGATTTTCTTGGCGAATTTCCTAAAAAAAAGCTCCAAAACTTCATTTTTTGTTTGTTTGAGATTTTGCAAAAGCTCTTCAACTTTTTGTGCCCAGATTTTCACTTTTAGAAATATGTATACGGTTTTAATTCTATTAATGCTTATTTTTTTTAAAAATGATTGCCCTTTCTATGTTTTTAGCAGTCCTTGTTTTTATCTGTAAGCTGCCCTGAGTCCTGTCATGGAAGAAGGCAGGGGATAAACAACTACAACAACAACAGGTTCATTGGTGTCAGGGTTTGGGCAATTTCTAAAGCCTTTAAAAGCTGTCACAACTAAAGAATCATGGCAAGAAAAATTGATGGACTATGCAGAGCTGGCAAAACTGACATATAAGCTACGGGACAAGGATAACTGTGACTTTAAGGATGAATGGGAACCCTTTACAAAGTATTGAAGACGCAACAAAGTGAACTGGACTCCTTGGCTGGTTTTGAATAAACATTCACAAACTTTTTATTGATAATAATCAGCTAAATAGTTTGAGGATCTATACAACTTTGTAACATGCAGAAAACAGCAGTCTCAGAGAAACCAAAGACTGGAACCGAGGGAAGTGGGGGTTTGGGGGGTTTTGTGTGGGAGGGGGGAGGGAGGAAAAATAGGGGGGGGGAAACAAAGATGATATGTTTTTGGATAATATGTCTTGAATAATAATAATAAAAAAGCTGTCACACACCTTTCTGCTGGGTCCTCGCCTCCTTGCAGAGCGGGCAGACACTGTGGCAGCAGAAAAATAAAGATCTTCTTTGCTTTCCTTCTACGGGTCCTTGCCTCTACTCATTCTTCACTGACTGATAATGGACCTAGGGGACCCCGAGCCACTTGGGGAGTTGGGCTGTAAAGGCCAACCCCAGATTTCCATACAACAATTGCTCTGGGAAAAACTGCCAGCCAGGGCATAAAATGCTCAGGGGAGTAGCTCAGTTGGTAGAGCATGAGACTCTTAAATCTCAGCTAGACGGGCCAATGGTCTGAATCTGAAACAGCACCATTATACTTTGGCCAGTTGTGGCTTCCTCCTTAAAGGATCCTGGGGGATGTAGTTTGTTCAGGGGGCTGAGAATGGTTAAGAGACCCCGGCTCCCCTCCCAGAGGTAAAAATTCCTCCCAGAGATCATCAATCCCTCAGTGCAGCATCATTCACAGCAGCAAGATTAAAGGACAGCTTCTCCACCCTCTAATTTTTTTAAAAAAATTATTTCTAAATTTCACAAATAAAATACAATCGACCTAACATTTACCAATATACATTCACTTTAAAAAGTCAACTCCCCCCCACCTTTTTCTCCTGATTTATCTTGTCCTGCTACACGTTATAAATAATCTATACCTTTTTTCCTCAGCTTTACTTATCGAAATAACTTTTACTGCTGAACTTACTCCAAACCTGCTAGCGGGCTAACACATTTACAACTTTTAAAAACAAGAATCTACAAACATTTCCCCTTTCCTCCATGAAAACTGTTTCATTTTGTCCTCTGTTTTTACTAGTTCAAATTGCTAATTCTGCATCTTCCATCAATCTCTCCGCCTTTTCTCTAGATCAGCCCAGTGGGTTTCCCTCAAGGACACAGTTACCCCATTCAGGACCGGGAAGTCCCCCACACCCACCCGCCCCCTGTCCCCCCAAAACAGCACTTCTGTATTGCCAGGATTCAACCTCAATCTGAAACAAAACTCCTTCTCACCACGGGGCATGCACAATGTGGCGGCTGGGGGCTGGCAGAAGTGTTTACTGTAATCTTACACTCTGCACGGTAGCTAGGCAAACGGGTTTTGATAAAACCGCAAGCAAACATGCACATTCCCTTTTAGATTTCCCCATAGGATCCTGTGCGCAAAGCAGTAGAGGTGGGTGTATTTATTTTAATCCTGCTCCACAAAGAATTGTGAGGAGGGGATGTACACACTCTGTATCTTGTAGCTGCAGCCTCTGAGGAGATTCCGTGTGCAACTGCGGCTGCTAAGGTCAAAGCGGTCGGCGCTTGAGTCAGAGAAAGTTCCGAGTTGGAAAAAGAAACTTCCTTCAACTCTGGGATCACTTCAGGGCTGGGAATTCTGCTCAGCAAAGCTCTCAAGGCTCTTGGTGCTCGGTTCATTCTGGAATGGCATCTCCATGTCTGGCTCATTCAATGCCAGGGTCTACCTGGCAAGGGCTGTTGGGAGGATAAAGTGTGGAGGAGAGAAGAGCCTGCGGGATCCGGCCAAACTGCCTGTCTAGTTCCAGCAAACCGTGTTCTCACAGTAGTCAACCAAGATGTCTATCATAAAGGTAAAAGGATCCTGACCGTCAGGTCAGTGTGGGCCGACTTGGGGTTGCGGCGCTCATCTCGCTTTATTGGCTGAGGGAGCCGGCGTACAGCTTCTGGGTCATTGGCAGCATGACTAAGCCACTTCTAACAAACCAGAGCAGTGCACGGAAAACGCCGTTTACCTTCCCGCTGGAGCGGGTACCTATTTATCTACTTGCACTGGTGTGCTTTTGAACTGCTAGGTTGGCAGGAGCAGGGACCAAGCAGTGGGAGCTTACCCCGTCGCGGGGATTCGAACCGCCGACCTTCTGATTGGCAAGTCCTAGGCTCTGTGGTTTAACCCTTCAGTAGCTTAGGGCCTCATCAAACCTAAATCCAGCCCTGGACACATCGCCAAGTTGAGATTCACAAGTCGACATTTCAGTGTCGAATGCTGAAATCTGACTTAAGGGGGGCAAAACAAAACTCCTATGTGTTTCAGATGAAGCCAATTCTCCCTAAGCCAACCATTTCAATTGATTGAAATGCTTTATTGTCACTTGTACAACTTGTATGTCACTGAACAGAACCCAATTCAGAGCTGACCAATGGCTAGAGCACTGTGTTCCATCCATCGCCCACCACGTCGGCTTGAGCAGGGGGCTCCAAGCGGCCAAGGCCTGACTCCCAGGAAGGTGACTTTTACCTGTCGACAGGTAGAGAAACACCGCAGGCTCCCTGGCTGGTCCTCCCTCTCCTCCCTCTCTGTATGCCAGGTGTCTGCTTACCATAGGGGTTTGC